ACGAAATTCTATTTGATATATATTCAATTTTGATTTACTTCACTACTTTGTAATTTTACTATTAATAACCTTTTAGACTTGATTATTAAAAAGCAAGAAACTAATACTTTTTGATATATTACTGATATTTACTATTTCCCAAAAACGAATTCAAATTACTCAAAGTTATCTATAATATAACTATGTATATATCTAACATTATTCAACAATTTTGGTTTATTGCCTGAATAACCTAGGTAGGATATAATTTCCAATATGTAACCACATATAGATAATGTAAAATTATCAAAAATTAAAAATATCTTTAAAATCTTCTAAAAATTGAATTTCATAATTATTTCAATTATTTTTAACTTTAATAGGCTTAGTTAAGATCATTTTTAATATACTTAATTATCCCCTAATGGTTTGAATTAAGAAAAAGAAGAATTTAAATGCTTTTTCAATTTTTTCATTGTATCTATATGCTTCTAGAGATGTTAGTCATCTGATAGGCAGATGAATCATTTTTAGTACACTTGCATAATTTAAATTTAGTTTGAATGACTTCCTTTTAAAGATTTTTGGAATTCATAATCAATAATAGTAAATTACAAATAATATATGATATCTTATTTTGAGTTATTTAAGGATGCTTGTCGCATGACTTTCCAAAAAAAATGAATAATGGCCTAACTTTATCAAATAGACCAAATCTAATTTCAACTAAAAAATTAATAGCTTTATTGGTTCAAACTATCGATCATAATTATATTTATGATTTTGTCTTGACTTAGTAATGAATATCCAACCTTTTAAAATAACGAAACTAAATTTAAACGCATCTCTAACTCTTTTAAATTCTCTAATCTTCTTGTATGGTATTTATAAACTCTATATAATCTCTTAAGGCTAATTATTTCTATAACTATTTTTAATAGTTTTACATTAATAAATTCTCCAACTGCTATGGAGTCTAAAATAGCTATCTTTAAGGTAATTGCTAATTGAACTATACTTCAAATTTTATCGATCTCTATTTATATTCTATTAGAACGCTTTCTATTTAGTAATATGATGTGATTTAATAACCTAAATGTTATTTAGATTATCTATATTACATCTCCGCAACTAATATTGCAGTAAAATAAATACAATCCAACTATTATTTTCATCTTATATATACATAGTAGCGTATCTTCTTTTATTGATAATTAAATCCATCTAAATTGATACTTCACATTAATTTTCATTTTTGACAAGTAATTTGTTGATATTTGACTTTTTCTATTAAATTTGTCAGATTTATTCAAGTCTTTTTAAGTATTTCTTTAAGAACTTTATACAATTGTAATGCTTAAATAATACAAATATTCTAATTTAGAGATTAGGATAAAAATTCAAAAAATCACCTTGATGATGCCAATTTCAATTATAGTACTTTTAAAAACAGATTCTTTTTACTTTGAAAAATAAAAGAAAGATCTAAAATTTTATCTTGGAAGTTATCTTTTTAAAGTATAAGTATATTCCTAATCCCATTGGTATTAATATTATTTGAGATAAAGGAAGAGTTCTTTTCACTCTTTAGTAATTATTGGCTACATATTTATATATCTATTATAGTTGATGATTTTCTTTAATAATTAATATATACACTAACGTTTGTTTAAACAATAATCCATTTTTAAAAAAATTGATTTTGCTTTATCGAAGGCTCAATTAAATTTGTTTTGCCTAAAAGTTTAAAAAATTCAAGATTGTCCCCAAGATAAAATCCTTAGAATAGTCTATCTCGATGTTTTTAACATCATTAATCATATACTAGAATTATGCAAAGTCTAATACAATTGTATATTTAATGATTATAAATATATTCATTGATTAGTTTTAATTAAGCTACTCTTTAACTCTTATTCATTCTTAATAAAGCAAAGAATAAAGCCATATGAGTAGCTGATTCTCTTTAATCTTATATTAAAAAATTTTTCTTTTTTGCTATTTTAATAATAAAATAAATATTTGCTGTAATTATAATAAATCAAAATTTTATTAAGTTTCTACTTTTTTAATTCCTTATTTTGCTAATAGATTTCATAAATAAATTATTCTGGATTTAAAATTGTTGAATATTTATCTTAATTTTGGATAAAGGTATCATACTTCATTAATTTCGAATATCAATCTAAGCAATAATCGATCC